ATGTAGAGTAGAATTTGCGTCACGAGTAGGATTTTCATTTCGTATTTTCGTTGGTCGTTCGGAATCCTACTTAACCTTGTTTTTTTAAATTTTTTATGTTTAGTACAGGGACTTTGGTCAGATTTTTGAGCAATTTTTTAAAAATTTGTAGGAAATCGAATTTCAATTGGAATCAGTTCAAACTTGTTACACAACATAAGAACATGTATGTGTAGAAAAAATTCTAAAAATGGAGAATTTTTTTCTAGTCATTTTTGTCAAAATTTGGCCAAAAACCTTGTACTTACAGTACAGGGACTTGGCTTAATTTTTAAAGTAACTTTTAAAATTGTAAATATACAAATTTGGTCGGAATCAGCTTAGCACTTAAACTTGCCACACAACATTAAAACATGAATATACATACAATGTATGTATTAGGACAAATTAGAGAAATCATTTTCTAAATTTTGGATGATTTATTATTCTTTAAAATTAATGGGTGCTTTAAAATACTAATTTTTTGTTGGAATAAGCTCTAACAATCTAAATAGCTCTAGTTAAAAATCACTCTAACTTTAAATTTGGTGTTCCTACAGCTTTAATCAAGATAAATCAGCTCTCCAGTCAGTTGTGATAGTGTACACTTCTCGGGGGGGAAATTCAGGAATGACTTCCCGGTAAATTTTCCGGGGGGACTAACTTTGGAAATAGATCTAATATGCGTGTTGGGGGAAATTCTGACAGCTGAGAAGATGGCTGGTAGTCCAGTCGAAGCAACTGAAATTCCAATGGTAGTGTGAGCTATAATTATACATAGTTTAAAGCTCTCTTTACTCATTCTCTTTCTCACTTTATTCTTTTACTACTGGGCTCTCTCTTTCTCATCTCGTTTCAGGCTTCTCTGACGACTTCTGCTTCTTATGCTTTTAAACATAAAACTAACACTAAGGATAAGAATGGCATTGCTGGTAAGTTATATTCTGAATTATTTGAGTAACATGCATAAATGAGCATTTATATACTGATGATGTGCATACATGTCATTCATTGCCAAAACTTTGCGGCATGTATTTTTCCACTACATCAGTGTATCAGTGATGTAGGCTGGTAAAATGTTATATATTGTCATTGCCAGCATTTTTGTCTTATTGTGTGATCATTTTGTGAGAAACAGTTTTTAAAATAATACTCCAAGTTAGTGATTGATATGTTTGACATGCTCCATCAGAGCTTCAGTGATTATACAGCTAGTGCTGAACAAGTGTGTGAATGTGTGGGAGTTATTTCACAAAATGTGATTTAGGCTACCATTACATCCTGTGCTTATATAAACCCATTTTTATTATAAGTTGTCTGTTAACATACATCAATAGTAATGCACTGTGTCATTTTTACTAACATTATCCATTTCTAGATTTAGAAGCAATGAATACTCTTAGTTTTAGTGATAACTTTGGTCAGACACCTCTTCACAGAGCCTGTATTGATAGCAACTATGACGATGTCTACGAATTGGTTGCACAACAGCAAAGTGGTAGTGGAGGTCAATGCTACTGATTACATTGGACGTACACCACTTCATTATGCTTGTGAGGCAGGTAATGAAAGGATTGTTCTTCTACTTATTAAAGGAAGAGCTGATTGCTTTACACCTTTACGTATTGCTGGCTCACATGGAAGCAAAAGGATCTCAGAAGCTAATGATCCTGATGCCGCTCTTCCTGATGCTCTTTCTCAAATTGAGGATGATATCAACCTCACTGATACTTGTAATGTAAGAGCATAGACTAGATTTATTTTTATTATTTGTATTATTGTTATTGTGTAGTGTACAGCTCTTCATATTGCCTGTGAAGGAGGACATACACTAGTAGTTAAACTACTACTGAAGCATGGAGCTGATGCCAATCTCACTAATGATAATGGTGTAAGCTAGAAGGCACAGTAATTGTTATTTGTCATTATTATTATAGCGCACAGCACTTTCTATGGCTTGTGAAGAAGGACACACACAAGTAGTTGAGCTGCTACTGGAGCATGGAGCTGATATCAATCTCACAGATAATTTAAAAGTAAGAGACATAGTAACTTTTATTTTATATTTTATCATTATTTAGCATACAGCACTTCATATTGCCTGTACAAATGGGCATGCAGAAATAGTTGATCTGCTACTCAAGTATGAAGCTGATGTCAATCTCACTGGTGATATTTTTGAAGTAAGAGATAGTAATTCATAATTGGATGAGCCTGAGCAAGTTATTCAGGTGACACTCTTCAATTGTACATGTACATCAACTGTATTTATCTTATCAAATTACTGCAGTGAGTAAGGCAGTTGCATTCACCCACTTCAAAATACATGTAGCTGCCCCAGCCTAGCATGTAGTACACTTTTGTCTAATTTTTAAGCAACTTCAGAAATTAGCAAAAAATTAAAAAATATATACTCAACATAAAGGCATATATGTACATTAGAAAACACAGTGAAAATGGAAAATCCTCTCCTACCATTTTTGATGAAATTTGATTATAGTACAGGGAATTTCAGAGCTACCGGTATGTCAACTTGTCCAGCTATATTTGTGCATGACTATTTTAAAGATTGTTAAATGCTATAACAGCTGGATAGCAATAAAATGATTAAGCCAAATTCCCTTTTAAGGCTTGTCATGCAGTGAGGCTGAGTGAGGTGTTCTGCAATCATATACATCTCTTAATAGATGCATGTGTACAATGCTTTTAATTGACTAGTTAATTATCATTATTATTATTGCTATGTAGTATACAGCACTTCATATGGCCTGCATGAAAGGACATGTACAAGTAGCTGAACTATTGCTGGAGTTTGGAGCTGATATCAACCACACTGATACTTATAAAGTATGATTTCAAATATAAGTTATTAATTTTATTGTCATTATTATTGTGTAGTATACTGCACTACATATTGCCTGTAGAAAAGGGCATACAAAAGTAGTTAAACTATTACTGGAGCATGGAGCTGATGTTACTAAACGTTATATATTTGGTCTTAATCCTCTTGACATTGCTGTAGAGGAAGGACAAAAGTGAGCCTGGATAAATTATAAATCACTGATTACTGTTTTATATGTCAATGTTAATGATAGCAGTTATTTTTGTGCTAAGTACAATCTATTTTTAATTTAGAGATGCTGCAATGGCCATAGTGAACAGTGAGAAATGGGAATCTGCATTACGTAACATAGTTTGGAGCAGAAGAGAAGATGCTGAAAATTGTAATGATTCAGATAGTGACGATGTTACTAGTAAATCTAAAACCCAATTCACAACACCTATGAGAAGAATAATTAAAAAGATGCCAGGTTATTACATTATGTATATATAATGGATCATAATTACATTTTTCACCTTCAGATGTAGCTAAAGTTGTTTTTGATCGCTGTTGTGAGACAGAAGAATCACCGTATGATCCTGATTATAAGATAACTTATAATAATGAGTTTCTTGATGATTTTGATCGGTAAGTATTATTTTTATTACTATAAAAACGCAATGTTTTGCGTGATTCAATAATAATAGAAAATGGACTGGACAGCTAGAATACTCTAGTCAGAATCACTGTCTTAATATTCTTGTGAGTAGTTAATGACTAATACCCTTGCTAATAATTATGACTAATAATAATTGATAGGCTCATTCACCAAATGCCGACTTATTGAAGCATCCACTTGTCACAAGACTACTTGATCAAAAATGGAATAAATATGGGCATAAATTCTATTACTCCAATTTGATAGTATATTTCCTGTTTGTCATTCTGCTGTCATCATTTGCTCTCTCTGTTCAGTCACCACTTTCAAGCAAATGTAAGTTATAAATAAGTATGGGGTAGCTTATTAATTACCTGTCATGCATTCAATGTTTTTCAATAGGTATTGAAGTATTTGGAAATGACAATGACACATTTATTGATTGCTTTCCTGGTAAGTGAATAATAAACATGTGACTATCATGTAGCTATTCTGTGTTATATTATAGAGGAAAGTTTTGTACCTCAAAAATTTATATCTTTTGCCAGCGTGTGCTTGATAGTGTATTCTACAATCATGATAATACGTGAAGCATTTCAAATCATTCTGTTCAGATTACAGTATTTGACCAGTTTTGCTAACTTCCTAGAGATTTCGCTATTCATTTTTACCATAATATTTACATCTGTACGTAGCAATCAGTGCTATTGTACTCATCCATGGCAGTGGCAGATTGGAGTAATTGCAGTATTCCTCAGTTGGATTGCACTTATATTTTTTGTGGAGAAGCTACCAATAGTTGGAATATACGTGGTCATGTTCATTAAGATTTTTAACAACTTTATTAAAGTTGTCATTCTTGCCTTATTATTAATCTCAGCCTTTGCAATTCCTTTATACATGATGTTTAATGATCCTCAAGACAAATCAGAAGGAATTGTAAGACTTATTGAATACATCATTTTTATTTCTTTTGGTCTGCCTCTCTCTGTCTTTATACTATAGCGTACTCCATTCATCACTCCATGGAGGACAATTGTTAAAACAGTGATGATGACAATGGGAGAATTTAATATGGATTCATTATTACAACAGAATAATCAAATAAATTCTCCAGACGTACAGTATCCAGTGGTTACATTTTCATTAATAATTGTGTTTGTGGTTTTAATGCCAATCCTATTTCTTAACCTATTGGTATGTTCATCCTCTACTTACTGTTCCCACTGCATAGTTAACCCATTTTATAGACTAGTTTAGCTGTCGGTGACACTCAAGAAATACAAAAATCAGCTGATACTTACAGACTAATTCTGAGGGTAAGAATGTTAGTGTAATTGCAAACATAAAATTTAACTGTTTATAGGTTGAATTCACACTAAGTATCGAAGAATTTCTAAGATCATTACTGACACTAAGCATCTTTAAAAGGACACAAATTCCCAGAAAAGTTAAATCCCTCATCACTGTTAAACGAAAACAATACAGGTATCCAAACCAGAAGAAAGGAGTCTTAAAACGTGCTATTGATGAGATTAAGGGATACTTTACAACACCTCAGGTGAGCAGACCATGAATCTACTCTTTGTATCATAAAAATTATACTTACATGTAATACAGGCAACTATAGCTGATGTTAAGAATCAATGCAAACCGTTATCTGAGCAAATGCGTCTTGAGCATGATAAATTACACAGTTTAGTTTCTCGGGAAGTGAAGGAACTAGGCAGTTCAGTATTTCAGGAAGTGAAGGAATTACGCAGTTCGGTGACTCAATTGTTAGCTATTGTTAAACGTATCAAGAAAAGACGTGTAAAGAGAAGCAAGAGGATAAGAAGTAGATGTAGTAGGAGAGGAGAAATGGAAGTAGCATATTAATTAGGTTTGAATGGAGGAGCAGATAATTAATGATTTAATTATTTAAAAAATAACTTTAATGTCTATTTTTATACTAAAAATTAATACTTTTTGTGCTTTTGTAGTTTATCAAAATTATCATTGCTTGTGTGCTATGAGAGAGTATTTTTACATTTAAAAAACTTTTAATTGGAATGAGCTTTTTAAAAGGCAGGATGAGGATATCAATATACAGGTATAGATCTATTGTGAAGAGTTGAAATCAACAATCCTCAAATGATTGAACCATTTTTAACAATAAAATTTTAAAAAGGAAAGTGAGCCATAAATTCCTCATAAAACAAAAGCAACAGGAAATGCAAAAATCTAATCAATAATGAAATCAATCCCAAGCTCAGTTTTAATAGCTTCAGTCCATTTCTGACGTAAAAACTTAGCAGCATTAATATAACTGCCTCTAACAGCAATGAATGAGTTCAAAAACTTCTTACAGTGATCTTGAACTTCAGACATATCATCAAGGAAGTGGAAACTAGCCTTGAACTCTGCAATGAACTTGTCCATGCTACAAGTCTCTCTGACTTCATCATTAATGAGACCAACTTCATATAACTGATTAGCAAGATCTGATAGAGAGGTCTTTAGATAATTAAGGCGAGCATGGTGAGAGACAAGAACATCATTGATCACTTTCTTTACTTTATCAACATCAATAACAACATTGGCTGGTACACCTAATAGAGGTCAAAGGTCAATATAACCCAATTGACACAAACTGTGCACACACACACATACACACACACTGTTACTTACTAGCTCCTCCATTGGATGATACTGCAGTAACTTCAGTAATTGTATTAGAGGAGGAGGAGGTACTACGATCTGATTAATATTAAATAAATGGACAAATTATTGAAATGATTTATTTTTGTTGTTTTCAGTGATGTCACAAGACGAACCACACCTGTGTGGCTAAATTTGAGCTAAATTGTCTGCCATGTTTGGTGGCAAGAATGTAATGTATATAGTGGAATGGAAACAATGGAGAAAAAAATCCGAATAAATTCTGCAGTTGACATTTGAGGCTAAAGAAAGGTAGTAAAAAATGGAAATATCAAGTAAAGGACTCTCTATAATATTCTGCAGCAAAATATGATATCTCTGATGAAAATATCCAGTTTGTTTCTATGCCTCATGTACATTCTTGCTACCATAAATAATACAAACAGTTTGCAGTATATATGTTGCCACTCAACATGGCAGTAAAGTTAGCTCCAACCTCCCATTAATTATATTCGTGCAAAAGCTCTATACTCTATAGTACTTTATTTTTGAGAAGCAAAACTTTCCCTGTTTTAGCAGGTTAGCATGCAATGGTGAAATTAAAGATCTGCTAAATATTCAATTGCCAATAAAGGCATGGCACTAACATTGCAGGTACGCCAAGTTATTTCCGCAAAAAATTGGTTTTTATTAATCTGCAAAATTTTAGTTTGTAAAATTAAAGCATTATATGGTATATTCATAAATAATACAATATTCATATCCAAAGACGTTGTGGGTGCAATATCTATGATATCTTACCTCTTCTTTTGTAAATAAGTAAGCTGAAGGGTTCAATCACATTTTTTACTGGTACACTATACCTAAGTACAGGTACAGCATCACATAATGGATCAGCATACACCAAACAAGATGGAGGAAAAGAATCTTTTTTATCACCAAAATCATTAATATGTTGTTGGAAAAACTATAAAAATCATAGATACAGGTAGTTACATGTTAGTATAAAAAGCAAACAAAATACAAACTTTGCAAGGCGTAATTAAGGGAGTCACAACCCATTCTTTAATATCTTGAGGTTTTTGTTCTGAATCAAAAATCAGTTCAATGTAACTTTTGTCCTTTTCGAATTGAAAGGGGGCATCTTGAAGTTTTTTCTTATCATTATGGTATTTCTTGATATACTATGATTAATTATTAATCAATTAGATTATAATACACAATGTTACCTCAATGAGAGCATTTAGCCTTTTAGTAGCAGCAAATATTACTTGACTTTCACATTCATCACCAAAAGTTGCTATTATATACCATTTAGCTTTTTCAATACTTGCTGCTGCAGGTTTTGTGTCATCATGATGGTGCTCTTCTAAAATAAGTCATAATCATCATTTTAATGAAATTGCATACTTTCACTAGGTCCACTACATATACTTGATTCATCAGATATTGGGTCTATTATAGTCTCATTAACTAAAAAGATTTCAATGACTGACCTGCATGTGATGATGATGAACTTGAGCTATCTGAAGCTTCATCGCTTCCTTGTTCTCCTCCATTATTACCATTACTACACTGCCCTCTTCCATCATCCTCCATAAAGCAGTTATCATCATCATTCACAATGTCCTCTTCATCTTGACTACCTTCATTCACTCCACCCCCATTTCCTTCATTTTCTCCATTAGATGGGCTAACTTCACTGTAACCAACTATGCAAACTAAAAAACAAAGTTCATGTTGGTCAATCCTTCCATATGAGTTGGCAGAAAAATGACCTGAGGTTTTATTTCTCTGTTGTTACTTATGGCTCTCTTCAATTCAAGCATCTCATTCCTGAGTATCTTTATTCTTTATTATTTCCTCTAAGTACAAAGCTACAACAACAGTTAGCTAGTATTGGTATCACTGAACTAACATGTGGTGAAAATAAATATGATCTTAGAGAGGTTTGTGATTATGATGTAAAATTGTAAATACAAATTTAATATTATTTTAAATTTAACAGTTCTCAATAGAAGAGGTTAAACACTTATCCACTGAAATTGGTAAGTACATGAACTGACCTTTAGTCAATCCTTCCATATACATAACATGTGTTACTAATAATATTCTTCATTCATAGATATATGTGATCCATTATGGTATGAAAATACCAGTACACCATTACATGAAGCAGCTTGGAGAGGATTAAAAGATGAAGTAAAATGGCTTCTTAACAAGTTTGGCTACAGCACATATCATCGTGGTCTTCATGGTTGGACTCCCTTACACTCTGCATCATATGGTGGACACATTGAGATCGTTCAACTACTCATCAATCAATATAGTATTGATCCTAATGAAGGTGATGATAATAGTGTATCTAGTTTACATATGGCATCTTATAAGGGCCATTTATTGATAGTACAATATCTAGTAGGCACGTGTAACATTCCTCCTGATAAACCAGACAATAGCAATAACACTGCATTACTGTACTCAGCAATGGGGGGCCATTCTGACCTAGTGGAATTTTTTATTGAGAGACAATGTAATACTTCTCAGATTAATTGTGTTAGTGCTTCTTTATCATTGTTAGCTTGTAAAAGTGGAGAGTTAACATTAGTCCACAAGCTTGAATCATTGAACCTCTTCTCACCAGATTCAAGAGATAATTTTCAATCTACTGTACTGCATTACTCTTCTATGAGTAATAATGTTGATCTTTTTAAGTACCTTTTAAATCAATATCAATTATCCATTGATTTAAAGGATCAATATGGTAAAACTCCACTTCATACTGCTTCATGGTTTGCTTCATCATCAGTTGTTGAGTATATTGTTAGTATTCAAGGTAATGAAGCATTATTAGTTACTGATAATGACGGTTTGTCATGTTTACATCATGCATGTTATGCCGGTATACATATTCCAGCTGGTATTGTGTATAGTAAGCTTATGGCACAAAGAGATGCATCAAATATTGAGATTATTAATAATACTGAAATAGAAGCAAATATTGATTTTGTCAGACGAAATAAAAGAGTTAAAATGTTTACTTCAATTCTTAAGAAAGCTAGCACTTGCCCTAACTTTGACACAAATGGCAATTCATTACTTCATTTAGCATTACACAGTGGCAGTACATTACTAGTAAAAGCATTAGAAGAACATAAAATTAATTGTACATCAACTTATAATTGTGGTCTATCTTCAGTACATTATGCTGCCTGGTCAGGTTCTACTAGTGTATTAAGTTATATCATATCTCAGTATAATCTCAACGCTAATTATACTAATTATACTTATGCTTGTACACCATTAGTCTACTCCTGCCAGTCAGGTAGTATTAATTCTGTTAAATATCTTATTAATAATCATAACAGTGATCCTAATATCACTGATAATGATGGTATGACATGTCTTCATCATTCTTGTCGTAATGGTCATATTGATATCACTCAATATCTCATTGAGGTACAGCATTGTGATATTAATAAAACAGATAATGAAGGATGCACATTAGTACATCATGCTGCATGGAGTGGTAACTTTGATTTAGTTCAGTATCTTATTACTGAACAAGGTTTGTCTCCTACTGCAGTTGATAAGAATGGCCTCACTGCTTTACATTATGCCTCACTGTCTCTTAACTTATCTCTTGTTAAAGAATTAATAACTACTTATCAGTTAGATCCTCATCAGGCTGACCGTAAGGGTAAGCTACCAATTCATTATGCTGCTGAATCTGGGGATATTTTACTACTGGAATTATACATGAAGGATTACAAGTGTATTCTGAGCCTAACAGATAACGAAGGTTCATTTTCAAGAGGTCACACTCACTTGATAAAATATCTGGTAGAGAATCATCACTTAAGTTTTTCTGGAGCAGTTTACATATCAGTAGTGAGGGGTCACTTGAATGTATTGAAGTATCTCATTGATAATAATTATTGTAATCCTAATGCAACTGATCATCAAGACCGTACACCACTACATGTTGCTGTAGCAGCTAATAAATATGAAGTAGTAGAATATTTACTGAGTAAGAGTATACCGTTAATGAGTGTTGTCTGGTTATGTGAGATAAAGTGTTTATTAGACAGTCCTTGTGACATATTCAATAATCCTTATAATGCTGTACTTGTTAATGTACAAGATAAGCATGGTAATACACCATTACATGTAGCCTGTCAACGCGGACGACAGAATATCGTGCTGTTACTACTAAAAGCGACTCTGTCTAGCAATAACTTATTAATTACTAACAAGAAAGGACAGACACCATTGCACTTAGCAGCTGCCTCTGGTCATAAGGATACCACTGAAGCTTTACTGTTCTCAGTCACTGGTAGTTCTACTCATCATGATCTCCTTACAGCTACTGATAATGAAGGATCCACTGTATTTCATGTTGCTTGCAGTAATGGACATATTGATGTGTTTCGTTATTTATCCAGTATTTATCCTCAAGGTGTTAATGTAATTGATAATAGAGGACATGGTTTGCTTCATGCAGCATGTGAGAGAGGAGATATTGGAATAGTAAAAACACTAATTGAGACACATGGACTGGATCCTTTAGCAGAAGATGAAGATGGCATCACCTGCTTACACTTACTAGCAGAGAGAAAGGGTACTTGGCTATTCATGAGAATGTTTGAAATGGAAATAAGAAGCATTGATATATACCAGTATTTGGAACTAAACATTACGTCTAATCCAGTACCTAAAGACAGGTCTGGTCGTACTCCTCTTCATTATGCTTCTCGTTCTGATAATATTCGTATGGTACGTTATCTCATAGAGACCTTCCCCTGTACTCCTGATGATCCTGATAATAATGGATACACTTCAGTTCATGGAGCATGTGAAGCTGGTAGTATGGAGTTAGTACGATACTTTCTAATTGATCTCAAATGTAATGCACTAGCTGAAACTAAAGATTTGAAAACCATGCTTTATTTTGCTAGTATGAGTTCTAATTTAGAGCTTGTTCGATTTTTAGTTAAAAAATTTAGTTTAAAACCTCGTCCAAATGATATTGAAACAGCTCAATCAGTTAATCCTGATTCATCAGTAGTTAAATATCTTCAAAAGGTTTATACTGATATAATATTTGATATGATGGAGGAAGAAAAAAGAATGAAGGAAATTTTTCATGAGGAATATGAACAACAAGAACAGACCAAAACACAAAGAAAAGATATCACATCTTAGACACCACCTTACCACCATACCATTACACTTATCACCACCATATTACCATTGTACATATAACAGTTATACCATCATACTACCATTGTATCACCACCTAACTACCTTACATGACTTTAGTACCATATACCCACAATGGTAACAATTATCACCAATCCTATTAACCACCATCTTACCATTATATATATACCTTATCACCCGCATCCCACCACCTTACATTCCCATTGTACTTTTACACCATACACCAATAGATACCAATATTATCTATATAATACTTCTGTAATATTTTGTATCACCATTACTCTTAATAGCTACCTAACTAAAATTGACATTTTATATTAATAGTTAATTGAATTATTTATTCAAAATATTAATGCATTTAGAGCAATGCTTCTTGAGTTCTTTTCAATCTATAATGGCTTTGCTAGTTGCTTTTGCCCACATGTGAGCACGTGATGATGGGTGTGTTTTGTCTATGGTTTTAATTTTGTCGTAGATATTATACAGCCCTTTGCACAAAACTTGCATCAGTCTGATCATGTGACTTCATAGAAATATTAAGTTAAGCCTATGGCTAATCATCACGTGACTAGAACTGGTGGTGGCAAGTTTTCTGCAAAAGGCTGTACATGTATGATTTTGTTGGCATGCCACATTGCACGTGGCTGACAAGAACCGACATTAACCGGAAACATTCCGCGGGAAAATTGAGGGAACAGCAATGTCTCTGTGCGATGTTTGTGAAGTTTTCTCTTTATCTGTCGCTTTCAAAGATTAAAGTATATATACTTTAATTTAAGTCTAATCTTTTTATTTGATAGGCTGAACTCAATCTGCTGGTTGGTGGAGATACCGTGGCAGCCTGTGCCTTATTAGGCTATAGATTCTTCATACTATATGGCTGCCAGAGGCGTATTTAGGGGGGGGGGCTGAGGGGGCTTGAGCACCCCCCCTCAGGGCTGGGCTCAGAAAAATTTACTGAAGTCCTGGACTCTTGCATCACTACCAAGCCTCTTAACAAAGTTATCTAGCCCCCTTATCATGATTTCAGCAGATTCCAGTGCTTTAAGGAGCAATCAGAAGTACCAGTAACATAGCAGTATGCTTGAAATGATCTTGGCCCCACCTGTAACTGACGAAAATGCAGGAAAAGGTAGTTTTACCGCCGTAAAAGTGGGTGTGGCCAAAATCACAGCGTGCTTCGCGCACCCTCAGCATTCCTTTTTTTCAATTTCTAGATACGCCCCTGGCTGCTGTTTTTGAATTTAGTTAGTATGCATATAAACTGTAGACTCAAAGCTGCTGGATTGAGTGATAATGGCACACAAGTTGTTGTTGGAGATCGGTAATTTATGGTGCATATTATATGTTAAGTCCTATCTCTCTCTCTCTCTCTTTTCCTCTCTCCCTCTACCTTAGTTCTGGCTATCTCCATTTTGTTTACACATCAATGGATCTAATCTTTCATTTATGTAATATATTTGGTTGTACATGTAATTACATGTACATGTAATTGTGTCTACCTTCCATTCTCCCTCCTTCTCTTCCCTCCCCTCTTTCTCTCTCTCTTACAGCAACTATATAGTGATGGCCAATCAGAATTTTTACAAATTCAGTTTGCAAAAGCTGATAATGGTATGAGAAACCTTGCTTGGCACATTTACATTTAATGTGTACATGTACATGTACTAGTACACTGTTTGTCTTATGATTCCATAAGAGTCTGTCCTTGTTGTATCTTGTTAGGTTGTTGCAGTTTGTTTGTAGTATCCACTGGTGGAGTCATTGGATTTACTAATAATGATAACCAAATTGACTGATGGTATTATTTATTATTATATTATTTATTTATTTATTTATTAGCATTTCAAAGAGGAGGCACTGCTGCTGTCATACTAGTACTTGTAATTTTATCACACATTTACTGTCTTCTCTCTCTCCCTTGTCTGTCTCTTAATTTCTCTTTTCTCCCTCTCTCTTTTCCTATTCCCTTTCCCCTCTTTCTCCTTCTCTTCCATAGATTCAAGAATCTATAGTACAAGTCTCTGCTAATATTTCAACCAATCAAGAGCTGATAAACTGTATATCATCTCATGACCAATATGGCTACATTGTATCATCAGTGAGTTATTGACGTTCCTTCCATCATTAGGTGGCGCTTAAAATACAAAACAATACTTGTACATTATTGAGTGTGAATTTCTGATTGTGTGTTTACAGAGAGCCTCCTTCATCCAATTGATGTAAGTTTAATGTCTTATTTATAGCAAGGAGCAGAGAGTCTGTATGTATGGATGGAGAAAGAGGAGGAGGAGAGGGAGGAGAATGGGTGGGGCTATGAACTGATTGATAAAGACAAGTATTATTTTTATTAAAAGGTAAATAGAAAATGTAATTTAGCCCCACACCCAATGTATTGATGTACATGCATGTACATGTACTTTTAGTTTGTGAGCTCATTCTGATCAAAATTAAAATTTTAATGAATTTTTTACAAGTTGCTTCAAAATCTAATCAATGACGCTGTACTGTTGTATAGGTCAGGTCATTGGCCAAATTGCATCAAAAGTGACTAGGAAAAAATTTTCATAGTTTGGTCATTCAAAAAGTGGCTGAGAATGAATTTTTAGTACATTTTTTAATTAAATCAACCGAAGATAATATTAATTTATTTATTAGGTGCCTCTGTTGTAAAGTGCTGCATCAGCAGGGATGGACAGTTCATTATAACTTTTTTGGACATGGTAAGTACATGTACATGTACTTTTATTATATTGCATGTACATGTATAATACTATATTAATACATGTATGTCATGCACATGCATGTTCATCTACACATACTTTTGTTACATATGTAATGTATCGGGTGAAGTGTGTGTATGGCTATTGGACATGATGATCATTATTAATATATTGAAAGGACTAAGCATCAGTGATATAGCCCCCTTACCTCCCGGGAATAATAATAATAACAATAATGAAGAACAGGACATACTGGTTTGCTCTACCAGTCAAGTAAGTATATATTACCTCTTGTTACTTGATTTATTTTCTTTTAGTGCATATATTTATATCAATTGCCATCATTACATTTGCTGTATAGTCTTAATGTAGAGACACCAATACTGGCTAAAGGCTGGGGGCCTGAGGTAAGGAAGGAGAAAGGGGAAGAGAGAGAAAGGAAGAAGGATAAAGGTCTTATGTACATGATTTAAGCATACAGTCATGTACATGTGCATGCATGTACGCATGTACATCCCATAATCTTTTTTGTATTTTATTTCAGTATGTATTGTATTATGCTGAAGTCGTCAAAAAGGACGTTGATAATAATAATGATAATATCATGTAAGTTAAGTCAGTTTATATTTATAATAATTAATTATTTAATTGTTGTAGTGCTATCAAGACACTGTCACAACTTCAGCCTTTACAAAAGTGAATAATTCATTTTAAATTTATCTTTGTTTATTTTATTGATTTTTGTATCATGTTTTATAGATTGACAGTTTTATTGTCAAAGGAAATTTTTACTGAAGCGTTTCAATTAGCAGAAAAATATGGACTAGACAGACAGGTACATGTACATGCAATACAATTATTATTACATGTATTATTATTATTATCATTATTTTTTAGGTTGTGTTGGTGAAGAAAGCTGAACTTTTGAATCAGCGTTTGTGTGCAGCTACTAGCAATGATCAAATGAATGAATTGTTTCAGAATCTAATCAAATTACTAGACGATGTTACAGTAAGCTATTATACATCTATTACTCTCTCCCTTCCTCTCTCTATAGGATATCATTATTATATCTGACCAGATACTTAGTTCGAATTATCAATCATTAAACATAACACAAAAACTATTATTATACATTAAGAACAGAGTGAGCTTGTATTCATGTACATATGTACATGTACAATGTTTCTCTCTCTCTGTCTTTCTCTCTCTCTGTCTTTCTCTCTCTCTCTCTCTCCTCTTTTCCCCTCTCTCTCTCCTCTTCCCCCCCTCTCTCTCCTCTTCCCTCCTCTCTCTCCATTAGTTAATAAGTAATGATGATTACTCACTAAAGCAAAAGGTAATATTATAAATGTCATATTTTTGACACCCCACCCACCCTCTATCTCTTCTGTCCTTCAGGTTTATACTGTACTTAATAAAATGGCTACCTATCAATTAATTAACATACAATACAGGTACTTTATATTTGATTAATCACATTATTAAATGTATTAACAATTTACTGTCTTTCATAAGCTCATCATCATGGAAGCAGTTCATTAATGGGAGCATATCAAATGAATTATTGCATTATCTTATAATTGGTGAGATTGTACCTGCCAGCTGCATATGGAGAAGACATCAGGTTAATAAATACATGTATATAGTCATAAACTGTATGTGCACTAAACTCATAGTGCATGTACATGTAAAGGAGGCTTATTGATGATTAAAACTGAAAAGAATAAATGTCACTTAAGCTAAAATTTTTGCAGCCAAATTCAAAAATGCTATTGTTATTACCGTATAGCAGGAAATTTTGGAGGGAATTAAATTTGGCGAATTTGGCGTTTTAATAGCCATTTGCCAAAATAAAAATCCACCATTTTGAGCCATTATACGCATGCTCAATGGCACGTGGCCACAAATTCACTAGATTAAAATCCACCAATCACCAAAATTTAGCAATTTACCAAAATTTTAGCTTCTCCAAATTTACCTGCTATACAGTACATGTTGTAGACACAATTAGAACCTTAAGGTATACATGTATTGTAAATTAATTATTTCTTTGTAATTTAGAATGATATTCTAGTCAATGTGTCTGACAAGGAGGACGTGTTAATAATGTTAAGATCAGTATCAGATTCAGTGTCATCTCTTGATTTGATATCATGGATCATTGGCCATCTCTTACCTTTTACTCTAACTCACTGTCCACAGCACCTGGTAACCACTTGTACTATTCACTGTATGTATTCGTATTGTGATGTGCTTTAATTAGAAATCAACTGTGACGTGGCTCATTGGCAGATTGGTTCAATTTGAAGTAATTGAAAATGTGAGAATAATAATAATAATAATAATAGTAATAATAATAATAATAATAATAATAATAATAATAATAATAATAATAATGATAGTAATAATAATAATGATGATAATGACATGATAGTTTTAATTGTCCTTCCCTGTAGTCCCGTTGGCCTGATAATGTACTGAATATTTTGGATTCATTGATATCTTATTTATCAACCAGCAGGAACTGGGAGGAGTCTCTCGGTCTCCAGGCAACACAAATCACACTGAACGTATGTGCACAAAACTTTAAATGATTTATTGAAACCTTTTCTCTCTCTGTCTCTTTTTAGACCAATCATTCCTCCTCATTGCAGCTGCTAATTGATTTAAAATCAAAATTAAAAGATTTGAAGTTTGTCCAGACTCAACTCAACCTAACCTTAACACTGAATCAACTTGAAGCGGTACATATACATCATATCACATGATCAGTCACGTGATCTCTCACTAGGAGTCTTATGAGAGTGTTGTGTTCATGGTTTTGGATAAAGTTGTAGCTCCTGAGGTCCTGCCCTCTTTATTTGAGAATCAGGTGGTCCCGTTTTTAAGGGAATATTCTTTGTCACTCGATATAGTGTTACTCCATTATTTAAAAGTAAATGAAGAGAAATCAGATATCTTGATATTCTTTATTCTTCCCCCCCTCTCTCTCTCTTCCTCAGCACATGTTATCTCATCTCTCAAGTTTATCCCCTGGCAGTTCTCAGGAAGCCAAAGCCATTGCTATTTTTAGATCAATACAAGATGATGAGGTAATGCATTGTTACTAATTTTAGTAACGGCTATGTGGCTTGTGTTCAGATAAGGGTCAGGGGCTGTGTTGAATTTCTGCAAGGGGTCCAAGGCATTCAAGGGGGCCTAAATATTTGGAGCAGCTCAGTGGAGGGTCTGGTACAGGAATGCTTACAAATGGATTTCCCCTGGTAAGTGGGTGTGATATACTGTATGTACATGTACATGCATGGTCTGGTTTATTTTATTTTTAATGTAGCGTGAAGGATCTTGCAAGGCAGTACAATTTGTTGAAAGTGTCAAATGTTTTGTTCAAGTATCATATACAGGACTTTAACTTTTTGTTCTCTGATACCATGCAAGCCTGGGTAAGAGAGAGAGAGAAGGAGAAAGGACATAAATATTATTTATATTTAATTATTTAATTATTTGTTCAAACATGTACATGTATGTGTATGTGTAGCTGTGCATGCACATGCAAAAAATTTATATTTCTGAAAATTTATTTTAAAACATTTATTTTTCTAGCGTTGTATATGTTATATATTAAAACAAGATAATGAAGATGTTCTTGAGGATTCTCTCAAAGTCAGTCCACCTTATTCTCATACTTTCATTCCTGTACCAGGTCTCGAAACTCTACGGTATGGAAACTCTCAAACTGTATCAGTTTCATATAACCGAGCTCTCTAAAAGACATCAAGTATATATATAATTTTTGTTGCTTTTTAAAATTATTTTTATAGTCGCACAAAATAAATAAAATTTTAAAATCTATCTCTCCTCTTGGCACTGCTGTTTCTGTTGCCATGGTAACAGGAACCTCAATGTTATCAAAGCTGGAGGCCAGTAGCAAAGAATACACTGAACTGACTGAAGAACAGAAACAAGACTATGTAAGGGAATATGTGGCAGATTATAATACCTTTATATGTACTGTACATATGTACATGTACATGTATGTACTGTATTGTACATTCATGGTTTACCATAAAGCAACTAATCATCAACTGTGTACATGTACATTGCAACTTTAAAATTTTGTAACAAATTCAATTTTGATCGGATTTGGCTCAAAGTTTCTACACATCATAAGTACTTGTATTTGCATCAGGAAAAAAAATATTAAAATGGAAAATTCTCTCCTTTTCATTTTTGGTGAAATTCGACCAAAAACTGTGTGCTATAGTGCACGGTCTTTGGCCTGATTTTGAGCAACTTAAAAAATTATAAAAGTTAAATTTTTATCGGAATTAGCTCAAAGTCTCTATACATTAAGTACATGTATTTTCATCAGGAAAGAATATAAAAATGGAATATTTCTTGCCTAGAGGTTTGGCAAAATACCCTGTACTACATGTACATGTACAGTATACACTAAGTTCTGACAAGAAGCACTATGACAAAATCCTATGGGAAACCCTGTGTACATTTATACACGTACTACATGTTTATATTGTATGTACATGTAGCTGGAAACATTTCAAAGACTTATATTTATGATTTTGTGCTAAGAAAACAAAATTTAATGTATGTGGATAATTTTGCTGGTGTAAGCGCACTTGATACAGCCTTTAACTCCAAAATTAAATTTCTGCAAATATTTTTTGCTAATACTGCATGTACTGTACATGTACGTTTATATTTCCTTATTTGTTTTATTCCTATTTTTAGTTTATTTCTGATGACTGGTGTGTATTTATAGACACTGCCCTGGAGTGTTTTAAGTTTCTATTAATAGAACACGTCCAAGGTAAAGTAATGATGTCATTATTAAAATACATGTATGTTGCTAATTATAGAAACAAGCAATGGTTACTCTGTAGAGCTAGTTATTGGATTGCTGAAAAAGATGAAAATATTACAGGTGCTAATAATTATTGTTGTTATGTAACACTCAGGATACATTTACATGTACAGTACAACCTTGAGTATCCAGTCCCTTTGTCCATCAGATTGTATAACTTGGTCGATTAAAGTGATAAAGAGGCTAATTATTGTTACTTGAAAGAAATCCATCAATACCTCCATTGCAAAGTTCTTTTAGTGCTAAATGATAGATGCCTGAATCAGCAATGTTGCCAAAAAATTAATAATAATGAATCCAGTATCATTCCAGTGAAAGTGTCAAATCTTGATTGCTAGAGTAAAATGGTGTTTCCTGGAGTAACTGTGGGAAGAAGCTTGAGTTTCTTGGACTTCTACTCAGTGCACACACACATTTAGTAGGCCCTATTTGTTCTCTGAGTCTACTGCTAATCACTGGCGAGGCCAATAAAAAAGCACATAAATTAATAATGTTTTTGATTATTAATACATGTACATGTACGTGTCTAAATTAAATGAAATTTAGTAGTGCCAGACCCCATTAATGTACACACACAATTAAAAGTGTCAATTGTTATTATACATGTGCATGTACTGTAGGTTGATTACAATGAGTTCAAACCAGTATCTACACTGCTGGACTCCAGTCATTGCTTGGAGCTCTTACAGTACTTTATAGTCAAAGAGGAAGAGGATGATGCTGATTCTTCTTCAGAGTCTCGCTTCGTTCGTCGTTGCCTTAGATACGGCTGGTTGCTAGGAGTAACGGAGGCCCGTGCTTATCAAGAGGTTATGTCAGCCTCTTTAATGAAAGGGAGCATCAAACAAACAACTGAACTCACCAGGTACAACACTGTCACAGTGTCACTGTATGACAAAAACTTTTGTAGCCCAAAATTTTAATAAATTCTATGATTTTTTGAAAGTTTGTGAATAGAATACCGTATAGATCCAAATTTTGTCACTCAAAAATGTTGTCAAAATCTTAATTTCTTGTTAAAATTAATTTTGTCATTTTTGTTCTTAATCTGCATACTACCCATGGTTAACAAAAATTTTGTCAAGCAAAAATACCTTTCCAATTGACAAAAATTTTGACTGATGAAAATTTGGAGCTATAGGTATGCAACATTTAAAATCCCCGAAATTATTTTTTGGGCAACTTAGGGAAAATTTCAGTATATGGTACATGATAACTACTGTGTATGTACGTGTACTTTGTTCTTTTAGGGTTTTTATTGAGTCATGTTCTACCCAGTCGCCTGTGGATACTAGCATTATCAAGGAGACAGTGTCCATAGTTACTTATGTGTGGTCCTGCCTGAGAGAAGAGGATGCACTGACTGATACTAATGGACAACTGCTAGTACAAATAATGATGGAATTGTCTTCCTTTCTTGTTAATGTAGCACAAAATGGTGAGACTGTAGTATACATGTACATGTATGATACACTCCCCCTCACTCTCTCTCTCTCACTCTCTCTCTCTCTCTCTCTCTCTCTCTCTCTCTATCTGCAGATGATTTATTATTTTGTAAATTGTTACATCGTCTTTGTCTCTTTCTCAAGTGCCTATGGTATCAGTGCAATGGAGCAGTTACACAAGATACAGTGTAAGATCATTATCTCTCATTTGCACTACATGCATCTACATCTACATGTACATGTATGTGTTGTATCAAGAGTGTCTGCACGTGTTGTACATTTGTATGTACACTGTTTTTCTCTCTTCCTCCCCCTCTACTGTATTTGTGTCTTGTACATTGGTACATGTACATGTATGTACATTGGTACATGTACATGTACACTTATGTACATGTACATTGTTCACTTAATTTGTTCACTTTATTGTGCATATTAAATTATTAATACATGTATGTTCATTCATTTGTAACCATAGGATGAATGGAAAGTTTGGTTCAATGTATTTCACTGAGGACGGCTTGTCCTTAAATTCCAAAGACAGCCTGCCACTAGCAGTGGATTACTGTTTCTCAGTTTTACAGTATATGTCACACAGAGGACAATTGAGGTTGTCTTCTTTATTTCCTCTTGATGAAGGAGCTGGTGCTAAAGCTATACTGGACATGTCTTGTGATAGTTTATTGAAATATCTCACCAATAATAATCACACTCAGCTGGCATTGAGTGTTTCATGTCAGGTAGCCTTGTCTTCCCTCCCTCCCTCTCTCCCTCCCTCCCTCTCTCCCTCCCTCCCTCTCTCTCCCTCCCTCTCTCTCCCTCCCTCT